CCAACAGGTTTGTTCAGGGGAGGTATGAGGATCTAAGCACAGGGTACTGTTAGAAGGCCTATGAAGAAGAAGGATGCCCATGTACAGATATCTCCGACTATATTATTGTAACCTGTGCATGAGTGTGTGGGCGGTGTTGAGGGCAGCTATGAAGCTTGGTGCTGAGGCACCTGCTCAGACCTATCTCACCGCATGAATAGCAGAGCAATAATGACCTTAAATAGACTAGGAATGCAGAAGTGAAAGGAGATAACAAAGGCTTCATTACATTGCTTCGGCAGAGGTAGTCAGACTACTTACAGCCCAGCTAGCCGGATTTGAACGTATGTAACACTTAGCTTGTTACACCACTTGTAAGCAGATAACAATAGTGCTTATCAGCCTTCTATTCGGGGCTATGATCATATAGAGGTACCCAGATAGGCAACTTCAATTCATGCCACAAAAATGCCAAAATATAATATAAATATTGATTTTCTCTTCTACGCTGGCTTGGCTCCCTTCCCTCTTGCCCCCGGCAACTAGTATATCTCAATCGCCATCTCTCTCACAAACTCACCATGCCTTGTCGCAGTGCTCAGAACGGTCCCGCGCCACCGCCACCACTGTCTGGCGCCTTTGCCGGCCTTACACCGGCGGAGTGGGCTGCATACAGTGCATTCAAGCATGAGCTGAAGGCGAACAACCCCAACTGCTCTCCACCTAACATGAAGGAATGGCGCGAACTCACCAGAGCACCTATGCAGGGTCAGGTCATGTCAACAGATGGCACGGCGCGGCGCTGTGAGGCTATAGTCATTGATCCTCTTCTTGAGGGTGCTTCTGGGCGCCGTGGTCAGAAGAGAAAGTCAGTGGGTGATGACTCAAAGGAAGATAGTCACCGTTATCGCTATCGCTGCCGCAAAGACTATTTGGAATCTAGTAACAATGACGGCAGTGAGTCCGAGTCATTAGAATCGTCGCCTGAAGCAGTGTTGCAGTCATCTGGCAAATTGAGCGAGTCCAATGATGAAGAGGACGAGCCGTGCCTCATCCTGATGGTGCCGAAAGCCAACCTGAGCAAACAAGAGGCAAAGGTGAAGGGAGAACTCTCGGTACGCACCATGATTAATATTTGCTATCAATATATGCCCATATATGCTGACCTACAGTTCCAATATCAACAGACAGAGGTGAATGTAGAATTTTACAATGTTACCAGTCTCGGCAAGAATCCATTCATCATGTGTTGTGGTGATCCTGAGCCTCCGACTCCCACTCTGGGCTCCAACTGCCTTCCTATTGTGTGGGGCGAAGACGTCGACCACCCAGTAAACAGGGCTGTCATTGAGCAGATTGCGTGGCTTGTATATAAGAAACAAACAGTTAGTCCATTCTATTAGATGGAATACACAACACAAAGCCACTCACTGACTTGGTCAGAACAAGAATACGTGGACCATCTCGTATAAAAAGGTCAAGTTTACTCTGAGTAACATCCAAGAGATGGTGAAGCAGCGCATTCAGACCTGGAAGACGTTGTACAGTCAGAAGAAGGACCCAGTTAGGGCTGAGAAGCGGTTCAGTAATCGAGACAACAGTCAGCGAGCTGCTCGTCAGCGAGAGGTGTGTAAACAAATATTGTTTTACTTATCTTAAGCTGCTGAGTAGCAGCCATTAATAGCTTGGACCTGTAGAAGAAGATTTGTCGCGACAAGGCTCGTCCGTTTTACATCGAAGAGAACAGTGCAGATCCTGTCAAACTCTTCAAGACACCATGGATGAGTGAGGAGATTAGCACGTTTAGTGCTTCTGACCTAGGCAAGCATCAGCAGTTGTATGACGAAGCTGCAGAGAAGTGCAAAATGACCGACGATGAGATTAAGCGAGGAGTAAAGGTTTTAGAGATGTGGTCTTTTGCCTGGTGCACAAAGAGGGTACATCTCTTCTGTTTCAGTATCTCAAACTGCTGACAAAGCTCATAAAATATGTGCACCAGTATGGTGATGTCATGCACAAACTTGATCGGCTGCACGATGTCCATTGCAGGACCGATCCAAACGTGAAGACCTACAAGCGTGTTAACCTTAACCGTGTATCTAGGAGGATTTTACCAGAGCGAAAGGTTTACCCATTTATGGTGAACAGGAGCTGGGCAAAGGAGGTGAAGAAGACAGGTATTTACCACAAGATCAAGATGGCCCACAGGGACCCGCGTGGCTTCAGAGACCTTCAGTCGTCAGACGAGGAGGTGGACGAGGAGAGTGGTGAAGAGGCTGAAGAGATCGCAGAAGGTGGCAGCCAGGACCGCAACATCACTGGAGTAAGCGATGCTGGGGTGAGTGGTGGTACTGAGGCTGAGGTTAGCCTGCAGACAAAAGATTTGGCGTGAGTTTCGCTGCACAGAGAGGTAGTATAATCTTGTCCGAGTCATTCCAACCTTGACTCTGTACACGCAGGGTTTTATTTTTTGCTCTCGCTATACTTTCTTGATGCCTGCTGTACCTGCAAATGCGTCCTCATATTTCAAATACTCTGTAAGCGAACGATGAATGAATTGAAATTAAAAATGTAAAAATGTGCTGTCAGAGTGTGCGGTAGCGTTCAGGAAAATCCACCAGGCTACTAAAGAACTTGAACGTCCTAATCGAAAGGATCAAATACAACCCATCAAGATAAAAGGTGCTGCGTACCTGTATGAGGCCACAGGTCACCCAGACCAAGCGGTGAAGTTACTGGTTCATGAAAAGATCCTTGCCCTCTGGATCATCTGTGTCATGTTCTGGAGGCATGCAAATGGCCAGTCGACAAGCCTGTGATAAGACGTCCTTCACAGGAATCAAAAAGGGAGGACCCTCACGTGCCGGATCCATGTAAACACCATGCTCCCAAAATAAAACCTCGAGCTCCGGGCTGCGTACATAAAATTAGTACAGCATACAGTGAGCATAGAAACACTGACTAGGGATCCCAGATTGTGGCCATGTCCATTTTTGCATGCCTGAACCAGCGAACACTGAGCAGCTGCTCCTGGATCGTTGGACAGCCATGGACGGCCTGCAAGTGACCAAGAATCAGCTGCACTTCACCGACAAACCTCTTGCTTCCTCGGTTAATTTGAACAACTGAGCTCCCAGCTTTTTCATCAAATCGCGAAGGGGTAACTCTACACTCTCTAATGACAACATGGTCATGAAAAACGGCGGTGCTGTCAAGGCATTCAGAGTGTGGTGAGGCGTCTAAACAACTGCGTGGGACGATTTGTGCTGCAGGGTATTTCGTGGTGTAATACTCGAGCAGCTGAGTTTGTTCCAGCAGTGTGAGGTTGGCGCGCCTTCCAAGGCCCATCTCGAGACTGACAGTCACTAGCAAAAACCAACCGTCTATTAGCAAGGTCACGTCTCTGGGGTGACGAAGTAATGACTTACTTTCATAAGAGGCTTGGGATATCTCCTGCGCTAGGTCAGCCACAGTTCCGCATGCTTTGCCATCAGTTTTCAAAAGGATACGTGCAGTGTCAGCGACCACACGATCTTTGATCCCCATAGCATCACCTTTTGAGGGCTCGCAAGCAAGATTCTCCAACTGTTACAATATAAGTATGAAGAGATGTCATGACAATAGTAGACTCACCATCGAACGAAGCTTGACTTGACGGTGAAATTCACGAAAGAAGGTGACTTCGAGCTCACCGCCAGCATGGCCGTTTACCAAGTAACCTTTCAGAACATTGTTGAGTCGTTCAAAAAGGTAGGTCCAGAAACCATACACGGGACTGTAGTCAATGATTTGGGTGAATATGTGGGTTACATAGTGAAGGTTTGGTTTGATATGATCTGGGTGCATCTACACATGTGGTACATCAGGTATTTCAAACTAGTATCGCACTAGCAGGGTAACGTACCTTAATGAAGCCATTGAGATATCCTTGAAGAAGCTCGTGTGCTCTTGGTAGGTCAGCGACATCGACCATCCATGCCAGGAGAATTTTCATTGCTGAGGCAAGCGACAGAAAGCTGTCGGCATCCTAGCTATACATGCGGCACTTCGGCTTCGGAGCCTCAGGCTCCGGCTCACTGTTAGCTTGCCCGCTTGCCTGCTTTTCATTGCGTTTGCGCCGAGCCTTGTCGTTCTTCTCCCATGTGGTAAGCTTACGCTTGTATTCATCATCTGCAACATTAGACCACTCATCCCAGATGAAAGGAATCTGTGAAGTATCAGTAAGAGTGAGGCCAGTTGTGTGCAAATGAAGATTACAGTTATGCAAGGAACGTCGATCAACTGACCCGAGACCTTCCCAGGCTGACATCAGAGACAATCATGACGCACCACCTGCCTCTCCCTTCACTAGCCATTCTTCAACGACCTCTCCGCCAGATTTCTCAGCCTCTACCGCTATATTGCCTGAAAGGAGAGCTGAGAGGAATAGATGGCTTACTCACAACAATGGGACAGTAGACCAAGAGGAGTGCCTTCCATTTGTCTGAGGTGAGCGAACCACCGGCAGGATACCCCACATCTTTTGGCAGCTGCGCAACCCATGCGGGCATTTCAAACTAGCGAAAGGTCATGTTGAGTATATAATGAATAGCAAGCAAAACATAAGACATATCCTAGTTAGATACTCGTGTATAGCATCAAGCTCTTGTGGGACACCCTTCGGTTGTGTGCGCTGGCAAAGAGTTTTATCTGTAATCCAGATGTAGAACCAGATATTCTTCATGACTCCTGAATATATGTGCATGTCAGCATATTAATCCATGCTACAGATACACTAAGAAAGACGTACCCAACAGGATGTTGTGCATTGGGTCAATGATGGCCATGCGGACTGGATTCCAGTAGGGCAGACGGTTCAGCTCAGAGTCACGAACACCATGCTCGGTGCAGAACGCGTCTCGCTCTTCCTTGGTTTTCAATTTGTTGTACTCATTTGCAAGTCTTCGATGGTCTATGCTGTTGCGGAGAGGAAAAGCTGAGAACGCCAGGGGTTAGCCTCCATCCTGATGAAACAGTATAGCAGGATTGCTTACCATCAATGGTGAGACCTTCTGGAGTGCAGAGACGGTCCTTTGTGACCTTGCACTTCATGCAGAAATATTTACCAGAGCCTAAGTTGCCAAATCCGCAGACATGACACATGGCAGGATGATCGCAGCAGACGGCAACGAGTATCACACGAATAAGGCGACCTGTGATACAATGTTAGTCACGCATGTAAGTCATAGGAAACGAATGCACCTTCAGGACAGTTGGCTGTCTTCATCAAGATTCCGTTGTTGTATAACTCGAGCAAGTCAGTAACAAATGCAGCCATAAAATGCTGCAATTCATCCCCACTGAGCTCACGAGGTCCTGGCGTAAGGCCACATAGCAATAGGTTCTCAGGGCGATAGCTGTTGGTCACTCAGTTAGCAAGATCTTGCAAGTCAAGCGAGAGGTTGAGCAGATGCTCACTATTGATGGACATCTAGGTTCTGAACACACAATGCAAGCACTCCGGTACTATGCTTTCCTAAGAAGGCACTACGGGCAAAGCTAAAGCTGTGGGTGGATGTACAAGTGAGCAGCAGAAAGAGTGCTGGAAGATAAATAGAACAAACCCATCAAAACCCATTGAGACACCAATTCTCAGCTCCGCCGAGTGTGCACTATCAAAGAACGGAGTGCCGTCGGAGCTCTTGAGAGTCTTCCAGACTTCTCCGTCCTGCATGTGGCGGAGTCTGCCCGGCTGAGAAGGCGCATTACGCCACTTGTCGAGATCGGCCTCCATTGTCGGTGTGCTATTGATGAAGTCGGCAAGAATCTGCAATGGGAGGTGCATGGGGGTCTGCAACACAGGCTTGGGAGTCCGTTTGGCAGCTAGTCATGTGCGCCATTGCTCCCAGTGGTCAACAATGTGGCTTCCAATGGTGACTGAAGCGTCGCCATAGACTGTTGAGCTCAAGTCTTTGAAAAGCGGAATGTTCCCACAGTGAGAACAGAGAAGGTCAGAGCCAGAGTCATGTGGGTATATGCGGTGTCGTAAAGAAAAGGTTAGGATAAGAAAAGTAAGTAAAAAATAAAAATGAGGTTTGGTATAAAGAAGATTCTAGGAGAAATCCTAGAAGGCTACTTTTTAATAAAAGAGAATGGAGTTTGGTCT